AGCGACTGAAAGATTCGCCAGGCTGTCCAGCTGACAGACATAGCCTGAAGATCCCGAAGGGGTGCTCATCGCTCGGAGCTTGGTCAAGCCGCAACAATAATCGCCACACGTACTTTGCCCGATGCCAGTATCCACAAATCCTTGGACTTCTGCCGGGGGGGAGGCCACCACAAGAGATGTGATAGATCATTAGATCCCAATAGATTCCCCATGATTATCATGATTCCATCCATGGATTGAAATGGTGGATTGATGTGGATTGACCAATTTGACCAATGGGAAAATGAAAAAAACATTGGCTCAGCAAATCCAGGACTCCCTTGAGGATTGCAGTACCATCCAAGAAAAAACCAGGTCCTCTAGCCCTGCCATTATCCATGGAGTAATCATATGGCATGCCAGAGCTTAGCCACAAGTCCTCCGTGAGCAGATTTTTCATCTGCTCGAACTGCATCTTGCCATACCTGGGCCGTGTCTGAGGTCACATGATCCTGCCAAACCAGGGGATACCGTCGTGTCATTAAGATAAGACTTAACAAAACATGTCAGTGTCACTAAAGCCCAAACAAAAAGAACACATGCCCAACGAAATGCAGGACAGGGACAAATAAATTGTTTCAAAACGCTTCTCGTTGCCAATAATGGTGGCTCCAGGTAAAAGATTCCATCGAGCTGGCGTTGATGTCTGCTCAGCAGCATTGCACCAGGACCAGGTGTTGGACGCGCACAGAGTCTTGAAATCAGAGTCTGGGAGATCACGAGCATTGACGTAGCACCACTTTGGGTAGTGATCCTGGCGCGAAGCTCTGGATTGATGGATGACTGATGGATGTAACTGGGGATGCGGCGAGCCTCAACTCTTGATATGTCCTCGTATTTTCTAGCCATGGTCACGCAATTCCATGGGTGGGACAGGAAACAAAAGAAGAATAAGGAACATATGCCTATAGCCATCTATAGCCTATAGCGAATTGATGCCAGGTGATGCCAAGATATGCCAAGTGTCACCATGGGCTGAGGCACAATAGTCAACTGCAGTGCAGTTCTGGATCTGTGCCAACGTCTGTGCTATTTCTGCTGGGTTTCCCGCAAGTTGCTGTGAAACAACGCCTTCAACTGCTGGATTCTCTCTGCACGTTCGACGTGCGATAACGTCTTCCGTAATGTATGGAACCACGCCTCGCACAGCACAGCCGGTGAGCACCGGCTAGCCGCAGAAAGTCTACTTCTGCTTGACACGTGTTTTTTTCGGCTGAGTTCGTTTTGGTAGGAAATGGCCACACAATGTCACAGAAAATCTGAGTTCTGAAACTCGTCATCCGTTTTGATTTACCCTCTGGAAATCAAACATGGCAACGGAAAAAAACTCAATAATTGTCATATTATGTCATATTCAAATGCCCATAAAAATGTCCTATGTTTGATCATCAAAGAGTGACCATGATCTGAGTTCATCAGCCCCACTTTCCGTCACTTTCCTCATCGCACCTGGCAGTAAGACTTCACCATCAACAGATTTGGTTTCTTCCACCCAGAAATCCCCACAGGGGCAGCCAGCTTCGGTGGTCTTTTCGCCAGTTGCTCGTGGAGAATTGTGCTCGAACTCATTCTCATCTTCCTAAATTGCATGGCAGGATATGGCAGGAGTTTGTTGCGTATATACTACACAAGTTCCACGGTTTTCAAATGTTTTCAACACGACACCACAACAACCACATACAAGCATTGACAGCTTTGCAGGCCAAATTGACAGCGAGCACTCACACCTTCGCACACAATAACTTCACATGGGGACTTGTGTGACTTGTAGGTTCAAAGCGGAGAAGTGACAAGCAGTGAGTTTGAATCATCCCATGTTATTCCCATTATATTCACATGATGTTCACATGATATTCCCATGATATCCCATGACATTCCGCACCATTTCTCCAGTGCGGCCATGCCGAAAAGCTGGGTCAACAGCTCAGTCAGCATCCAACAGCCCCTTGGGCCCTTGGGATTCACCCGGTCCCAGCCGAAAAAATCAGTGACCTATCTGAGAACCTCCGAGAACCAGGGCTGCCAGGGATCCAAGTAGACAATCTGGCTATCCTCACTGTCCACCAAATACAAGTTGTCAGCTGAATCAAAGCACACCTGGCCAGGCCACCCAAGTTCTAGCGCTGGAGTTGCCATGAAAAATCACCACTATCTGATAGGCAGCCCTATGGTCAAAAACAATCACACAACCAGGTGGTATAGCCCACTAGAATAACCAATCAACAACCTCCGGTCGGGTCGTAAACACGGGCCAATAAACGTCCTGGACACAATTTTTCTCTTTGAAAGTTATACATCGTAAGATCACATATTCATCTTAGTTTCCAAACACACACAGACACACATGGCCAACCATTCCCCAATAGAAGAACACATTTATCTTAGTCTTAATCGTATCAAAACAGTTTCATCTTGTTTAAAAACATGTTTCTCCATCAAAATACAAGTTAACATGAAACATACTACCCCAAACCGCATGACGTAACGTAACATCTCTATAGCAAAACACATTTGTGACGCGATTTGAGACCCCAGGTTAACATGAGAAGTACTACTCCAACCTAACCCCTATGACGTAAGGTAGAACAGCTCTAGCAAGACACATTCGTGAGGTAAGACCAAATACAATTTAAGATGAGACGTAGCATTACGTCAGTGCAAGTGCCCAGGAACGTTATTAATTAGCCCCCCACCCCTCCCCACCCCATCTATAACCTATAGCATCACGTGAGTGCACGTGCCAAAGAACAGGATTGGACCGAGCCACCAACAAATCAGCAAGGACATCTTAGTATATATATATATAAATATGCGGCTGACGTATGCTCACGTCGTATTCATGCCAACTCTAGTGCAGCAGCCCCGGCAGAAATGTGCCACCAAGTTGCTGACATAATTCCTCCAAAGGTTGCCAGCTGCGCACTGATACCATCACACCCTCCATCACCCCACTTCTGGATGTTCCGCGAAGCACACCACGTTTGTTGAGTCGCGGGAGCTCCGTACATCCAGTAACCTGGTGGCTGTAAAGAGCACCAAAGGGCTGAATATGGCAGAATGTTACCCGTTAGGCAATGTTTGGCATTCTGACGTTGGGCAGCCGGCAGGGACGATGCTCAGAAATACATGTAATACGCACACAAACATGTGCTGTAGCATCCCTTGGTGTTTTTTCCCCGATCCTTTAGTACCACAATAAGAGTTCATTGATCTTTCATGGAGAGATCCTATCATCTATCATCTACGGGCAAATCTCCTGAGCGCTAGCCGAACGCCCACTTCTTGAGGTATTCTGGTCGAGCATCTGTAGCCGTAATGATATTTCCTCAGTTTTCTGCGTGATCTATAGCAACTTCCACATGTTGCGAGGTCAAGGTCATGACTTCTATCAAAACGCAAAACAAAATCCCCGGCCTGTAACCCTGCCTGATTTCTGGCTGCCAGGGGTCTGCGGATGCGTATGCACCTTCAAGGTGAGATTCCGATCTGGGAATTCCACTGGAAGCCAGGAGCTCAATGCCTGGGAATGACTGGCAGTGCGGCTGAAGATGGAACACATGAAGATCCTGAACATGTCGAAAATAAAAAGGCAGTCGTCAGGCAGAAAATCAACATACTAAATGTAAATATTGTAGGTAACCTGTCCTTTGAGGCATCTCTGTTGGACTGGACAGCAAATCCCGCAGAAAACAGGGATAGCTGCTCAACATCAAGACGAAGTTTGTCCAACAAAGGGGAGGTGCCCCAAAAATCCCAAAATGATCCAAAATGTACAGTTTACTGTATCTTTTTCGCAGTCACGGAGAAAATATGAGAAAATTATACGTAGGATAATTACCCCAGTCTTTGAAATATGGAAAGACCATGAAAGACCATGCCAACCCCCAAGTCAAACGGAGTTTTCTGGCCTCCGCCTGAGTGATCAGCAAGGTTTGACGCTCCGTGACGCTGAGGTTGTCCAATAGGGAGGCATCAAATCGCGCCAAGAAGTGGCCGAAATCACCCAGCAATTCCTTGGGGAAGTCAGGAATCTGGAAGACCACTGGGATGGGAAATACTTGTGGGTGCCTTGAAGAGATACCAAAGAGACACAGCCAAGATCTACAATTGAAGGTCAGGGAAACGGGCTCCTTCTCTCTCTCTCTCTTTCTCTCTCTCTCTCTGTTGTTGCTTTGTGTTTGTTCCAATCCTCAAATATGTCAAAGAAACATGGGGCCAATGAATACGTGGTGATATGCTGATATTTTACAATTATCATTTTATTTTCGTTGAAAATGATGAACTGACTTACATGCTTGGTGCGGCATGTTCCTGACAAATGGGGGTCTGTGACAATGCACAGCAAACAGCTGAGGGCCCCTTTCAAATCAATATAACCAATCTGCAACAGTGTCTTCTGGGATTCAATGGGCAAAACTGAGTGACATGTGCTGAGACCTTCCAATATCTTCCCTGAATGGCAGTTTTTTGGGCGGTGACTCACCTTAGTTCGATCCACTTCGGGTATTTCTAGACCCCATCATTGCCAGAAAACCATCTCACTAACAGTAATCCAAGGCATTCCAAGGTGCTGTGGTGGTCACATTGGTCAATGGCAGCATGAAAATGCGATTGTTGTCGCCATCCACAGCCCACAATCGATCTTTGCGGTCGATGCCCATGGAATACATGCCACCTCGCTGAATCAACAGCTGAGCACGTTGATTGATTGAATATACCCTCTGGTAAATTATGCAATGTTAGATTTCACATTCCCGCTCCAGCTCAAAGGTACGTGTCTCCCTCAAAAAAATTGCTTTTCCCTAGATCTAGTATATTACATGGTTGGGATTGCATAGGTGTATATATATATATATGATGAAGCTCAAAGCTACCTTGCTGGCTCACTGCCTCCTTGCTAGCTCAAAGCTCAAAGCTACCTTGCTGGCTCAGTGCCACGTAGCTGGCTCAGTGCCACGTAGCTGGCTCAATGCCACGTAGCTGGCTCAGCGCCTCGTAGCTGGCTCAGCGCCACGTAGCTGGCTCAATTTTTTTAGCGGAAAAAAAAAAAAGAAAAAAAAAAAACCTCGCAGAAATTGAGCCGGCTACATGCCCTTGAGCCGGCTCGCCAATGCGTCATGAACCCGGCCAATACATAGCTAGTATTCGTTTTGATGCTCTCACATTCGTCCGCCAGCTCAACGTGACGTAGCTGGCTCAATTTCTGCGTTTTTTTTTTTTTTTTTTAAAAAAATTGAGCCAGCTCGATGCCATTGAGCTAGCTCGATGCCCCTGAGCCAGCTACGTGGCATTGAGCGAGCTCGATGGTGCTGAGCCAGCTCGTTGCAGTTGAGCGAGCTCGCAGAAACTTCCCAATCTGTTAAATTGCATTAAATTGCCAGGTTCAATCCCCACTGATTACTTTAGTACTAGATATGGTACCTCTGAAAAAGCCCAAGGTGACTGTCAAAACATACCCCTGATGAAATTGAGCCAGCTACATGTTTTGAGCTAGATCGAAAAAATGGAAGAATGGAAGATTGGGAATTCCAACATTAGAAATTAACATAGACCCTGGCAGATAGGGGTTGGAAGACTAGTTTCCATTAAAAATTGGCTATTTTCAGGGTCTATGTTTATTTACCAGAGGGTAACTCATCTGTATATCCAAATAAACGTCCCCTATTCACTGAATATACTGAAAATAGATACTACAGTATGAGATATATACCCCTCTGGTTATTTGACGTAGCGAACTGGAAAATCACATTTTGTTTGTCATGTTTTTCTATCTATGGATATGGGGTGTTCATGAATTTTCCACAACAAACTGTTAAATAACCAGAGGGCAAGCACTGGGATGCAGCAGGGCACTGAGCAGCAGGGCACTGTTTGGCACACTGTAATGGCCAGGTAGAGCCACCTTCGCAATGCCACGAAAGGATGGCCATAAGCCTCAGGATTCCCAGGATTCCCAGAATGGAGGCCGACAACTTACCATTTTACTGTCTATAGATGTCATCTATAGTGCTCATCGTATGTGAAAAACATGAAAGATGCATCACATTGCATCACTGCATCACGCTTTCTCTCAAGTTAATAGATTTAATAGGAGAGCTCAACTGCTTGCCGGCTGCATCTATCAGGACTCCTTCCAGAACTGCAAATTGTCTCAAGCTATCAGCAAGTCAACATATTTCTACCCCTTGGATCCCCTTGGCAGGTATTGATCATCGCCAGGACTCGTCTCAGGAAGGGACCGGACGTCAACATATGTCAACATCAGTCTTCAAAGATCTTTAAACCAACGAGCGGGTTTGCCTTCCCCTATGGACAAATTGTGGGAGATACACCAAAATCGAAGCATTTTACCGAGGAAAGTGATTTCCTATACCATTCCTCTGTTGTTTTTTCCCCACCTGCCAGGTGAGGGTCTCTAGATTTTTACAAAGGCACAACTCCTCCTTCTGCCTCTTATCCTCCTTCTCCTCGTTTATCATATTTTGATATATTTTGTCCCCCTAGATGTTCAGACAAAGAAGCTGCCCTCCAGGGAATTGGCTCCAGCAGGAAGGCCATGTCCTGCGAATGTGATCATCATTGCAGCAGGGTTTTGGCTGGGATCGCCGATGCTGGTGCTGAGCTTCATGATCTTCTTGCTTCCAGAGTCCAGGAAATACAGATCCTGGGAACCAGCCGAATGTCAAACGGGCTTCGGGGAAAGCAGTTCATGAAAATGCTGGGACTGACACGACTGACACTAGCCATACACTAGCCATACCAGCTATGTCGAGCTGTGAAGCGGGTCATCCCAAGCGACACAGCTCCTGATTGGAAGCGAAGGCTAATGCCCTTGGGTTCCACAGGCTAGCTTGCACCGCCACCTGAGATGCGGTGTATTCTGCACCCAGAAAACACAGAAATCCCAGTGATATGTTTGAAATGCTTGTTTCTCTGATGGATACCGCACGTCAGCTTGCAAAACCCAGGCTGGTCGCAAGCAAAGGCACACATCCTGTGTCGCAAGAATCATCCGTCGCCATGACCTGTTCATCACGGACTGAGAGATCACCCACAGATCTGAATGGTGATTTCCGCACAGCACCGGATAAAGCTTCGCTTCTTTCTGTTGGACTCAACGTCTATCTTCCAAACAAAAAGCACTGGAAAAAAAAACAACAGCTGCTGTTTGAATAATTTTGACGGGCAGTTTTGAACAAAACCACCAATAGGCCAAGATACCCCAGTGCCGGCAACTGTGTAAATATACCAATCGTTACCGGTACCGCTTTTCACCAGCTTTCTTAGGCGTTGATTCAAGAAGTCTGCGAAGTAGACCTGGCACATGAACACGGTCAGAAGCTTTGGCGAATCGCCACGACTTGGCAGTTTTACATGCAGAAACACAACCGCTGCCGCTGGTTGTTTGCAGGAAACTGGGGAACACGAGGGATACTTTCAAGAGGTGCTTTGCATGGGTGTCATGCCACCACCATGAACTGAAGTGGCAGAAGCGAAACCAGACTAAAACATACAAAACAATGATAAAACATCAAACAACATCAAACAACCACATCGCCCGAAAAGTAATTGATGAGTATTTCTTGCCATCATCTGTCCTCTGCCCAAGCACCTCTTGACCATCTGCTAGGTTTGGTTTCAAGGCGAGACCTTCCGGATGTCTCAGCAGTGCCTCACGACCCAAGCCACCGTCCCCAGCAAAGCCAACACCACCAGTACCGGCAATCGTCAGCAAAGCATTCTGGCTGACGTCGAGCATGCCTCAGCATACCCGATTAATGGCTGTGCCAACGAAGGGAAATGGTACAAGCCATTGGTGCGTATTGGAAAGGCCTTCTTGTGGATTGCCCATTATGTAATCAATATGTAACTTATGTAACCCAGTTATTTTTTTGTTGCACTGCTCACCATTCTTCATGCTTCAATGGAAACGAATGGCCCATGGACTGGCCGCGGGCTGCACAGGTGGCACCGGACTCTCAGGTCCAGAAAACTGTGGCTGTGGAGAATTATGGGCAGTTGTGACTGTCAAAGTCACAAGTCTGGCAAAACCGGTATTGGAAAGGCGCTTCCACGCCAATGGGAATTTCAGAACCCTAAAATGAAGGGTTCTGTACCATATAAGGCCCTGTTTTGTGGGGATATTCCCTTACATTGTCACACACACACATATATATATATATATATATAATGCCCTTACTTAATCCTTACATAAGCCTTTTGTATGGTAGGTACCTCTAATTTAGAATCGTGAAATGGCTTTTGAAGTGAGGCACTGAGGCACCGAGAGACTCTTTCCCGGATGTAAATAATCTAGAGCATTCTATATAAACCAAACTTTGTTGCTCCCTTGTGGCCGACTTGTCTGGTCTTGTCTGGCTTTGTCTTGTCTCTGCTGTTTACAGGCGGTCTTGTTCCAATGCTTTGGATCACGTATCTGTTACCAGAAGGATCCCCACTGATCCCCCATTGCAGGGCAAGGGCAACATCTGAAGTGCAGCCCAAGCGCGGATGCGATTGTTGCCCTGATCGGAGAAATACACGTTGTTCTGCTGATCCACTGCAATGCTCACCGCAAAGCCAAAGGAAGATTCAGTCGCCGGCACGCAGCTACTACCACCACGGCAGTCACCATAAAAAATCTGAAGCCCATCCCCTGCCACGGTCTGATCATCCTGCTAAATGTTCAACCTGAATGTTGAAGCCCTTGCATGATCAAGTACTTTCGGTACTGAACTTTGAAGAACCCTGCAGAATCAGATTTGGTCCTGTGAGATCGGAATTCTTCTGTCAACCAGCATATTTTGTTAACGGGGCAGGTTCATCTCCTCTTTATACAAATACTTCGTATTCCATGAGATTCATCATGTTTCATCGTGTTTTCTCCACGCCTGCCAAATCCACGATCTGAGCGCAGCTTTGGCGAGTGGGACATTCCAAGCAACTGGTCACCGAGCTCAACAAACAGCGATTTTCTTCACTGCTCCATCCAGAACCTTCCTCCTCAGCACAGAGGCACTGCTCAGAGATCTCTGGCGGAACCAAGGGGTACTGTGCACTCGCAAGCAGCGAAACCGCCAGCAGGGTCAGGTGCCCGAGATGTCTGGCGGTCATCTTTGAGCCCAACTGAGAGGACGGCCACGTGCTGAATCATGGGACAACAAATAAAAGGCTATAGGCTATAGATATTTGTGGCGAACGAACATTTCAAACAATTTGATACTATTTCATAAAAATTTGCAATGTGAACACTGCAAATACTATGAAATAGTATCAAATAGTGCAGGTATCACCAATGACCCTTGATGGGCAGTGCAACTCTGAAGCATTGAAGTGAACGAGACGTTTTTCCGTATTCGAATTTGGTCAAATGAACAAATCTATTTGAGTCCAAGGGAACCATGGAAAACCCAAAAGAAAGTGAAAGTCAAGCAAGGGGCCTGCAAGATAATTAGGTCAATTGGTTTATAACTGGGCTGACTAGGATGAATGGTGCATCTGTGGTTACATGATGTTACATGGGGTTTTAAGCAACACACATCACTGGGGACTCCAGGGGCCCTTTGCCAACCTCTTGCCAGCGGATCGGAATTTGTCAATTCCCGCCATGGGCACATTCCCATGACCTTCCATTGCACAGTGCTGCGGTGCAGAAATGGACTGGAGTCATGGGTTTGTCGGGTTTGTCCTCTAATAAATATATATATATAATATTATATAATATATCTGCAAAATTTACTTTAAATTCAAAACGGTTTCCTCGTCTTAAATCTACTTTTCCCCTCTGATTAAATCTTCAGTCCTCGCCTCGTTACATTCAAAACGGATTTCAGCCCTCGTCCCATTTCTTTCTCGACCGCAAGCCATTCGAACTAGTCCTCTGCCTCCTTTTGGGTTGAACTTTTTTGAATTATCTTTGTCGTCGTTGCAGCAACGCTCTGGGCTCCAGAGGCTTGGGGATGCTGAAAAAACTTTTCAGGGCCTAAAAAGTTTTTACCTGTTTCCAAGATGCCTCTTTTACAAGCGGATTTGCAGGGGCTCGATTCCCCCAAATTCGACCCCAGAGAAGAGAAGCTGCAGCAGCAGCACCAAGATACCCCGCTACACCTCAAGCTTTAGCAATTTTAGAATCTAGTCGCGCTACCTGGGAAAGGTGAATAAGAACTATTGACCAAAATTTCAGGGTTCCCTAGGGTTCTTATTTCAATTAGCTGGTAGACAGAGTTGAATCCAGCAATCCAGCCCCTGAGGTTCTTAATGCAATGGATTCTTAAACAGTGATTTCACTGTAGAACAAATACGGAAGTCCTGGAACAACCGGGCATGCCACCACAGGGCACTGACTGAAATTACGATAAAAAAAACTTTTCGGGCTCCAGAAAGTTTTTTCCACGGGGTCTGAATGCTCCCTTAATTTTCTATTTTTTTCAACTCTGATGGGAACAAAAAAAACTTTCTGGAGCACGAAAAGTTTTTTTTCACTCGTTACACATGCTTTGAAAGCAATTTCTGCCCACCTCGTTTTCTGAATTTAATTAATTCACCTCGCTTAAATTGCAAAGATTCACCTCGTACCTCGTCAGCCCTCGCTCTAAATTATGCAGATATATCCCCAAGAAGGCAATTTTAATAATTAGGGACAAAATGATCAACCTGATCAGCCATTGGATCGAATGGGGTGCCCGTGTTTGGATAAGGGCAAAAAATGGCAAACATATGCAACGATTGAAAATCCATGAAAATCCTGGATTTTGCACTGGCAACTGAGACGCCGGACGTTCCATCCTCTTCCTTAGTGGCCGAACATCTTCCGTTTTTCTCCATCGAGCATTCTGAAGCCCCGTCTCTATCCACCCTATATCGGACAAAACGATTACCCTCTGGTAATTTAACATAGCTATTGAAAATTGCCATTTATAGTGGATTTTCCCATTAAAAATGGTGATTTTCAATAGCTATGTTAAATTATCAGAGGGTAAACCCCACAACAAATGGTTTCATGCCAAAAATGGGCCGGGTCTGGGTCAAGAATTTGATGATTAATGACCGATACGGGCACTAGTATGTATAAGAATAATCAGGAAAAAACGATGATCAAGCATCTGGATGGACGAAAAAACATCCCATCATGTACAGCCAAATATCAATAAATGTACAGTAACTGTTTTGGTTCCAAAACATCCCACTAATTACCATTATATAAACTTGCCTTAGGGTAAATTCGCAATTTTGAGTATTTCATATCATAGAATTTATAATTATATGTGTATAATATTAATAATGGGTTGAATCCCCCAGATACCCTCTAGAGTAACTTAACATATGGAAAGTCACCATTTATATAAGAAGTAGCAAATCATCTATATCATCTATAAGTAGGCAATGTTCGACAAGCATATTTTCGGGCAATCAACCATTTTTGTGCCGGGCTTCCTCCGAACTCTGTGATGTTGAGCAATCCCTTCATTTGCGAAGTGTTGGCGCTGCTATATCAGAAATTCATGGGAAACTTTGTTCCGAATATTCTCCTGGTCGAAGTGCGACCGGCACCAGTTGATTAAACGAGACATCTCCGATGACCAATTTTGCTGATCAATCCACTTGGTCTTGTGGTACCACAGTGGAGGCATACACACCTTTGTCTCTCCGGGTCTGTCATTTTAGTTTTTTTTTATTTCTAGGTTGGGATCTTGCTCCCCACTTCTAACTTCTACCATGCGATCGATTTAGTAAGTTGCTTCGTCGGTGTCACATTGTGTCACTCTCATATTGAATTCATATTGTCTCAAGCCTTAGCTGGTTCACCACATTCGGTCCCCAATAACTGCCTTGGATCTGCGGCCGTCCGGCCGTCGGCAAGTTGCTACTTTTGGGGCCCATCTGGTTCCAGCAGTTCCCACCAATCTCTTGAAAGGATGTCCACGAAATATGTCGTTCTACCATCAATCTCTGGAGAAAAAAGTCACTTAAATGGACCACATGTTCATCCATTTTCCTATAGCAATTGGAATTTCCTAGACCCTCTGGTTATTTCACATAGCCATGGAAGCCATGGCCCATTTATAGATGGTTTACCTATTAATAGCATGGTGATTCTCCATGGCAAACTGTGAGTCATAACCAGATGGTAAAAGGGGGGTTTCATGGGATAATGCTCCAACGTTGCCCGGTGCCAGGGTAACTCCGTTCCATTCTGTTCCATTCTGTCTCCCAGTGGCTGATCGCGTTTCTGTCTCGCAGAGGTGCCCTTGGGGCGCTGTGGGTTTGGGGGGTCTTCTTGATTCAAAAAATGGAAAGCATGGGGATATGATGGGGATATGATGGGGATGGGGATATGATGGGTTTACTGAAGTTTACTGATTGTGTAAAATGGTGCTGTTTGATGATTTTAAGCAGAAATGCGATGAAATGGATGGATTTTAATCAAAATTTCATGAGAATAGCATGGGATAGACAACCAACAATATCATGGATAAACAAATGGATAAACAGCAGCCCCCCTGCTTGGTTTTCACGCGTGAAGCTGTGCACTGCAGAGTCAGCTTCAAGGGACAGCACTAGATACTGTCCCTAAAATGGTTTCCGTATGTGACCGTACCATACAGTACCTATAATGCAGAGACACATGATTTATGAGTGTGTCATATTGTTTCATGCACGGTAAATCATGCTGATGACTGAAATCTTCCGAGTGGCTGCAGACTTCATGGCTTCGAGTTCAGCCTCAAGTGATGCCATGATTGCCCAGCAGGTTCCAAGAAAGTACGGAGATCCACTTCTTCCAACGTGAGAAATCAGAAATCTCTACAGCAACTTACAGAATCCTTTGGTGGCATTTGGGAAACCAAGGCATTTTCTGCTTGGGTCAACGGGTTGTGCCAACAGCAAGTCAAACCCAGTCAGCACCTGCATCTCTGCAATTTTCGCTTCGAGAGACTTCATCTTAGCCTCCAATGGTTCATGAAAGCCGCTGACCAACTGAACCCACTTGGAACTGGGGAAGGTTTGGTTTGGCATGGTTGGGTGTGCTAACATCTTGGTAACAATGTACTTTTCTTAAAGTGCTGCAAACATGGTTCTGGGACCCACCACAAACTTTGCACCCACGCAGCTTTACAGTATATCAGAATTGTTTAGGTCATCATTATCTCTTAGGATCTCTTAGGCTGTGGACATGTTTTTGATGTACTTGTTCCACCTGCGAAAATCCAAATCATGTCCACACCACACTCCAAAACAAGCGCCTCTTTCTGCTTCTCATGAGTCGGGCTCTCCAGCAAGCTCTCAAGCTCTTTCCTCTGCAATTCCTGTAGAAACCCACCCAGCATCCAAAAGACTGAAACAGATGTCAATGCCACAATGCCTCAAATTCAGCAATGTGATGTTGAAACCGCACCCGGTCACCGGACCCCATTCTGAGTCTCAGGCCCTTTGACTTTTTCCTTCGCGCGACGCTTTTGAAGTCTGGGGCACTGCCGCTTCCTCCCTCACAAGTTCCTCGGCAGGAAAGGGCCCCATTTTTTCATATGTGTTTTCCCACCTTGGCACTGGTAGCGCGCAAATCACGTGCCTGCAAGTGCATCTTCTGTAATTCCCTGGCAGGTGCACGCAAGTCTGATGATGATGATGATGATGATGCTGATGATGATGATGATGATGATGGTGATGGTGATGGTGATGATGATGATGATGATGATGATGATGGTGATGATGATGATGATGGTGATGGTGATGGTGATGGTGATGATGATGATGATGATGATGATGATGCTGATGGTGATGGTGATGGTGATGGTGATGATGATGATGATGATGATTATTATTATTATTATTATCATTGATGAGTTCGTATGTTACATATGTTTATTATCATTGATGATTCTTATTATTGCTGATGATGATGGTGATGATGGTGGTGGATAACCATCTATGTCCACATCTGCGGGTCCAGAACTGTAAATGCCAACCTGGTCCCAGCCGCAACAATCTCCGCGCCTCTGTGTTGGTTTGGGCATGGTATCAGCAATCACCACCTGGCCACCAAATGTTCCCTAAAGGACTCTGCTCACGTGAAGAGTAGAGTCAAAATAAAGGAGTCACCCCTTGAAAAAGTGTCTCCCCAGCTCAAGAGGTTTGAACCCAAAATGTTTTTGGGAGTCTTGAGAAAGATGCAGAACATGTGCAAATGCGTACAGTGCACATTACGTGGTATGTCGTGAATTATCCATGGCTTTTCCCTGTCTCAAATGTCCTGACTCAGATTGGGTCATGCTCTGCATGCTCTTCATGCTCTTCTGACACCCCTTGGCTCAACACCTCAGGTACAGGCGATGGAGGACCTTAGCAATGCAATGATGCACTCACTCAAGTCGTCAAGTCTTGAGTCATTCCTAGATGTTCCTAGAAATGGTGCCGCATGGAGCAGTGCACAGTAGCCTGAGGCAACCGGCACATTGTGACGAAGGCCCAAACTTCCAACCTTTGAGGTGTGACACTCACAATCACCACGGCACAGCTATTTTCCCAAGCCGATAAAATTGCTGAGGCGGAGTCCTTCCACAAGTACTGCCCCAAACCCGCTCCTGATCGACATGAACCCATATGTACCCCTTCTGATCCCATATGCTACAAAGCATCATGAAGGAAAACCATCCCTGAGACCAGACCATGCATGCACTCCTGTGATTTTGCTTCAAGTATTTAGCTTCATGGCTCATTTTCTTTGTTACATACACATAATATATACATAATATATACATATATACGTATATAATATATATATATATATGTGATATTTGTTGACATATGTAACAAACATAACACATATGTCTCCTGTAACACACACCTGACATATACCCGACATCCCGAGCGGCGAGCGGCTCATCCTCGCCCGGTTGGGGTCCTTGAGCACGTGCCACTTGCCAGGTGTGAGGGAGAGAAAGTCCACTGAAGTGCATCCCAAGGTATCAGGATCACCTCATTCCACAGGACGGCCCCGCCAAAACCCCGGCCATGGCCATGGCCATGGAATTTGGTGAAAATCTGAGATGATGACCAGAACCTAAAGACAGAACCTCCAAGTCCAAGGTGGAATTCCAGGAAAAGGCCTTCCACAAATGGCATCAAATGGCTGGCAAAAGCTCAGCAACCGCAGATTTCGCCCCAAATTTCATGTGTGGATCTCACCCGCGGTGATGATCATCCAGAAAACCTACATAGAAGAACATGTAAGGTTGCTTGGAAGCTTCGATGCAACTAGCTAAAACATGCTAAAACACGTTGTTTGCTTTTACGTGAAACATGATCGAACGAAAAATCAAACTATAAGTACAAAGAACATCACAGAACAAGGTTGCCATCCCGTTCAAAAACCAGAAACGATCACGCAGCTGCCTCGAACTTGAAGTGATTCTCCAACCAAGTGGCTTTCCCACGAAGCCGCTGGCTGTCTGTCCTTCAAATCCCTGATGTTCACTGAGTGATCACAGAATCATCTAGCTTCAGTCGTGTCCAAAAGGTCGGATACAGTAAACCAACAATTTCATATAATTATATACATAGTTATATATATATATTATATACATGTACATATATGTCCATCCATTTCCTGGTTGCCCCCTCTTTCCTCCAATTTCTCTGGCCAGAATACGGGACATAAAAGAAAACAAACAGTTTGGGGATGTTTTGGACGTGCACAGGATGCATTTTGGAGGAATCAATTGGTCTATCCCTGGCCTGTGCACTTGCTGTTCCACTCGAGCAACAAGGGCCACTTCAATGCTTCCCTGGAGTGACTTCGAGGCAGGCTTAAACATTTCAGTTACAATGCAAATGTGGAATGGATCAACGGGAGATTCATGATATTCTAGGGTCGAACTCCGACTTGTCTGGGTTCCAACACTTTGTTTGAAACTGCTTTCACCTCTGACTTGTGACAAACATTCATAAATTACACCTTTCAGAGTGAGGTCGCTCAAAACCACCAACCAACCAATTGCTGACCGCAAGATCTAGGATCCAACCACCACACCTCTGCAGTGAAGCTTTGCGGCACAAGCCTCAAGCGATCCCAAGCGGCTCTGAGCTGCTTCGGCCCCCACGACAGTCTGAGGCTCCGCACTCCAGTGTTGCCAGAGGACTTGAAGTGGTTTCAAGGGTGTCTGCCTGCGACGCAAAAGTCACAAGCAGCACAGCACTCTTATCTCCAGGGGTTCTTTCTTGGACATGTGGTCATAGTTCTGAGGAAAAAAATGAAAACATTGTATCATAAATGGACAACTGATATCTAGAATATTTATGAATATCTATGAATATCTATGAATATCTCTGAATATCTATGAATATCTATGAATATCTAATATCTGGTGCATCCATGGCCACATGTGTACCGGTTGTAAGTCTTTTGTTGCCGGCAAGCCCTGGTGTGCTGCCGGATTTAGCCCAGTTCCAAGGTGCCTGCTCTCCTGCCATGGCTCTCCGCTCGATCTCTGATGGTCGCCTTGACGACCATAGCGCAATGTGGCACCAGCGATGCAGGACGTCCTCCGTGGATTCTCTGGTTTTCTGCCAGTTTTTGCCAACAGCAATGGCATCAATCACTTGGTTCTCAGGCAAAACCTATGAAACCATACTGGTCAAACATGCGCGATTCCTGTATACTACCTTATGCCAACCCAATTCTTGGAATCAATGTTGAACTGCTAAACTTGAAAACTACTATTGGCTTGCCATTGGCCAGGCACTACCAAAAGGCACCCCTAAGTCGGTCCCGCAGCAAGCTATCACCGCCCATCACATGCTTTAGCCCCTGGATGGCTGGCCTGGGTGATCGGATTGCACACAGTGCACCAATTTTGGAGGACCTTTTCTGGATGGGGTGAGACACACGCGCACTGACACAGTATAGAATATACACACATATATATATATATACATTTATATATATATATATATGCTTAGATCTATATATTGTTTATATTGATATGTATACATGAAATGATATACATATATATATATACACACGTGTGAGTGTGTATCTATGAGTGAATTGAGATAATCATCTGATGTAGGATGGAAAACGTTACACAACATAAGAAAACAAAAAAAAGGACATAAGGACACCACCAACCAATCAACCAGTCCTCCACAGAAAATCTCAATCTCTGAGTCCCGTCCCCTTCCAAGTGCCCCCCGCGAAAGCTGCCCACGCCGGACTTCAAGGCGCAAGACTTTTAGCTGCTCCCGTTTCTGCAGGAGCGAGGCCTGGGAAAGGTGGGGACCACTGCCGAAAGGGGATGTGATTCATATGATGATATAATGGGCTGTCATGGGATGTATGATCAACAAGATCAACTGTCAACAATATGGGCCCCCTCTCTCTCTCTCTCTGGCATTTTGCCGCGCTTTTGAGCTTGAACCCCCAAACATGTTTGTTAGGCTCATGCTTCATGATGTTACTGAGTTTCTTCCAAGGTCTCACACATAGACCAAACGAACAAAAACACCATACTAAAGTCATGTCCATAACATGGCTATGCATCCCAAGAACCCATGGCATGGCTATGAGTCCCAAAACCCCGGGTGCCAAAATGGGATGTTCACACCCGAAATAGCTGGTGAATAGATGTTCATCCCCCCTAACTCACCTGAGCCAGCTTCAGGGATGCTGATGCTGCGTCTCCACCTTGGAGAACCTCCTGGGCCAGCGGCCATGAACTGGTCAAATATTGGAGATGGTGATCCAACAGCAACCTTTGTTGGGGACAGCACCAAAGATCCTCAAACTTGTCTATTGGTACCTGGGGCATTTCACTTTCATCTTCATTCATCCAGTTTCAAGCCATTACAAGCAGAACATGGGCATTGTCCAACTCCGAGATGACAAATTAGTATAACAACAAGAATAACGACAAGACAAACTGACCATTGCCCACCCGCACATGACTTGCAATCAAAGTCTTCGTGAAATTCCATTCAATACCAACAATTGCATCAACGAAGGGCTATGGCCAACCCTATAGTCCCTGTATATCATGGTATATCATGAGTACCCTCCGGTAATCAAACGTGACAATCGAAGATCCCACATTTAAAAATGATTTTCCCATGTTAAAACTCGCATGTATAGACAATTTCCTAATTCAACATTGAGTTCCATGATTTTCCCATGAAATCCTCCATTTGTACCATGATTTTCCCCGTAAATCCATGTAAATCCTGCATTTCAAGCGGATTTTCCCACGTTTCCCACAGGGTCCATGGCGCTTTCGCCAGAACTCACCGCTTCCCCCGGGGTTTTCCGGGTGCCCCGAGCCCGTCGCGCTTGCCGCCAGGCCAACGCTTCGGCGTCGGCCTTGCGGATGGCCTCACTCGCCTCGCCGAAACGATGAAAGCCATGGTATGCCAATGGGATAACAATCATTGATATAACAATATATTATATATAATATTATATAATAGCTATAGATATAATAGCCAATCATTGGGATAACAATATATATAATAGCTATAGATAGCTATAGTAGATGCTATACCTCTATATATTTTATACATACTAGTAGTTATATAATGTTATATAGATGTATGTATAAAGGATGATATTGGAATGATTATAGTACTTGGGTTTCTGGGTGTACCGAAGGTATAACAACAATGGGATGCTATGGCGATGGGATAATGGCTGACATAGCTATTGAACATAGTAGGCCCATTGAAATAGTGAGTTTTCCCATAAAAAAAATGGTGATTTTCCACATATTATATAGTTAGTTATGTTAGTTTACCAGAGGGTACACGATTTGGATGATATTTTTTTAATACCATTGGTAAACGAACATCCCTGCTGTTGCTAGACACGGTTGGTATAACAATAATGGGAATGACAGTTATATATCGTGGGCTAATAGTTGTCATAGTATCTAAGGTATTAATATATCATCCCAATTTCCTTGGCAAATTTACCGGCAAATTGCCAAATTCTAATAAACATGTTGTTGGTAAACTGATTAAATTGGGATTCACCAATTTATTGGGATAGTAATTGAGATACCTAGGATGATAATCAATAATATATTATCGCAGTTTCCTTGGCAAATTTACTCCATGAAGCAAGGCGGGAGAATTGGCTCCTAAGCCATTTTTTCCCTCAATTTTTACCCAAGTATCCCAATTTCACCTTGCCCATTTGAAGTGAAACATGGTAAAACTATATCAGGTATTGTTTGATGATCCAGTATTATTCATGTACATTCTCTGGTCCATGGTTGTGCCATGATAATCCATCTGCGCGATCATTTTCATGTTCCTCTCAAGTCATTCGTGGAATCATGTGCCAGATTGTGCAAAATCATGTGCGTTGGGTCCTTTGAAATTTTCAAAATTCAGGTATATTCAGATGATGCTCCAAATGCGGGGTCTGGGTCCCCTGTATTATCTGTAGTTCAATCATGTTCTAGCATGATTGAGGGCACTTCTTTCTGACAATTTTTGCGTGTCCCCGCCTTGTGTAGCTGTAGTCGCATGGCATCGCCTGACAAAACTGATAGTAATCCATTTCCACTCTGACAGTTGGAGGCAGTTTTAACCTGATTAACAGGTGTACTGTTAGTAGAGCAATACTAAACGTCCCAAATCTATAGGCAGTACAAAGCATGAGAATATGGGTAGCTTCACTAACATTAATCAACAAAGCTTCACCTTCACCATTCCTTGCCCCAAGGAGATTTTTCCGCTGGGAATGCAACAGCTCAACCACGGATCGATAGCTTCCAAGCGGAGCACATCACTAACGAAGGGTGGCTTCCCAGCCGCAGGCAGTTGCAGTTGCAGCAGAATTTAAGTTTAGCGATTCTTCTATGGCATGGTCTGAGCCTAGATACACCTCCCAAAATGGACATTGCAATATATATAGTAGATAAGATTCGGGGAAGTATATGTTGTTTTCCCAATATGATTTGACGATGTTCTGACATAACTTGGCTGAAAACTGCTGCAAGCACCAAACTGCTTTGCCAAGTGCCCACCAGGATAGCTACAACTGAAGCAGAGCCGCCAGGGAAATTGATACCTTGACAGATCTTGACAGATATAAATATGGACAATTTTTAAAAAAGTCTTGGGAGCGACGAGACGGAGGCTCTAGACTCTAGTCCAAGCCCTGCGAGCTTGGAAGATCTTGGAATTGCAGGCACTGGAGGTGGCACCTGCTATGGCACTGCCAATGTCACCTTCTTGGAATCCCATGGATTCTGCGGTGTCATTGGAGAGACCGGCGCGCCGTTGTCCCTCAAACCGTGGATGCCACCATGATGGCCGTGATCGCCTGGCAGCGAGATTACAGCGTCCGTGACTGAGAGGGGAATAAAACTTGAAACCACCTGTTCCAGAATTGGGGTTTGCTTCATGAAAGTTTCATAACATTTACATATTATTACATATATATATATACAATATAAAATATATATATATATAGATGTGTTATGTGTACACATATAGATAATTATATATATATATATATTATATGCAATATAAAAAATATAAATAATGTAAACTACAACAAATCCTGAACATATAGTACTGTTGCCGGATTCTTGATGGTGAAAAACACTGGTTTCCTGTAACTGTTCCCTGAAACAGACCCAATGGATCTGGTTGGTTCCGTTGCAAGACGCTGCACCTGAGCTCCCATGACTTGACGACTTGGCTTGGAAGTTGCTGGGGCCCACGTAGTGAGGCCTCAGCAATGACTTTGGAAATGGGTGGCCATGAGTCTAGGAGATATGGATCAATATGGATCAATATGGATCAATATGGATTAATATGGATTAATATGGATTAATATGGATTAATATGGATTAATATGGATCAATGTTGCCATTCATCACCATGTCACACCTATGAGACACTTCTATAAATCAAAGTGTTTGCTGGTTCTAGAGCCCTTGCGCAGCTTGATCCGCACCTTTTGATACCCTGGTGCCCTGAGCTTGGAACACGTGCAAACGCAAGAAGCCTAAGCTGTTGGGTGCTGGACCCAGGCTCATTCCGTGATTTAAATTTGGGACTGCAGCAGCCAGTATAGTCCAACATTCGATGGTCAAGTTTGGTATACTGCAAAAACATTAATCGAAGGAAGTTTAGAAGTCAAACTTCCGACAATATGGACAGATGAAAAGCAGAGCAGGGAAGAGGCAGAGAGAAGAGAAAGATTAGAAGAGAGAAGATCAGAAGAGAAAGAGTCAGAAGAAAGAAGATGCAGATGCGCGAAAAGGTAGGAAAGTCGCGAAACACTGTGTTTTTCCAATGATTTGTGGCTCCGGAGAGTCGAAAAGTAGGCTCGCTAAAGCGGCGGGTGCGGAGCCAGCTGGCCAGATGAGAGATGAAAAATTGCACGCCGTTGTGGCGCGAAGCACATTTCCAAGTCAAAATGTACAAAACACACCAGGTCCGGACCACTTTTGGAAGTTTTTTTGCCGGGGCTTCTCAGAGGGTTTGCCCCAACAGCCAGCCCAGCACGTTCGCTCTGGGCAATAGCTGCAAAGGTTGCATGATGTTAAATGGTTGTCTATATAGTATCCAAAATTATGTCACGTATGTGAGACAATGTCGGAGACTACGGTGTTGGCGCTCACTCGCTGTCAGCGGAAACAATTGGTATCACGATGCATGGTTGGATTGTTGCAATGTCTGCTGTATTGGAGTTGCGTGGTTTTGTATGGCTCTCCACACTGCGGCATTTGGTACAGCGATTTGCAGGAGGAAAGGCCTACCAAGCATATTCAAATGGTAGCATAACCCTCGGAAGCCTCTGGTAATATTGGCTTCATATCCTTGCAGTGGTTCACTGTCTGCCCAAACTGAAAACCCGGCAACTGTATCCAGCCATACCGCAGTGAAAACCCCAGCCGGTATACCAACGAACACCAGGTGAATCCAAGCAACGGGTATGTGGAGGAGGCGTTTTGGCTTGTCCCACGGGTTTTGCTCAAGCATTTCTACATTGTTTTGGGTCCTTGTAAACCCATGCCATTGTAAAAAACTTTCAGATAAAGACTTCCAAGCATCACGATCAGTAGCAACATGGATGTAGTCCCCCTCGAGTTCCATGGCATACCAAAACTTCCTTACCAGACTGTGAGGTGTGTTCCAAGGACCTGGGCGATTTAGCTTGTGCGAATGTTGTGCAATGAGATGATGCAACATCACTTTGGCTGGGCGATTGCTCTGAAACTCTTGGCGGCAAATGTGCCCCAGAAAGGACCAATATCGGCGGAGATATTGTATCTCCCAACTTCCTGAGGGTGCCATTTGCAGAATCCATCTCTTCACAAGATGTCGGCGAAGGCGCAGAAGGTTGTGAAGAGCCTCGTCATCTGTCAGGACCGGGACGTAGAGATTTAGGGCTTCAATCATCAGCGTGGTCTGTACTCTGCTCACTTTGGTTCGAAAGATCTGGTGCGGGTACAGGACAGGGGACAACCAGAGAAAGGAATTCCCAACATACTGGTCAAGCATCTTGCAAGTTGTTGCAGGATGTCGCCAGTGGCATCGCTTGAGAACTGGCCGGAGTCTGCCCCATGCCGCATGAATCAACTGGATGGCTTGATGGGGCAAAGCGTCAGGGTCCAGGTTGTATCCGAAGGGTTTGCGTAGGTAGGTTGTGTGTTCCACCCATGGAAATTGGTGCAAGATGCCTAGCTGGTGACGTGGCGGGGAAGAAGCTCTCAGACCCGGGCTCACAACCAGACAGCTTTTGGTGGGATTGATGTGCAAGCCAAGTTGAGCAAGACAGTCGACAAAGGAAGGCAATAGCCGGAGTGCTTGTGTCCAACTGCTGAAGCACATGAGGATGTCGTCCACAAAGAGGAGCAACCATAGTGGGGGAAACAGAGGCACATGACCCTGAGCTTCCCATTGTTGCAGCAAGTTTCCGATGGCGTGGTCGAGTGTGCGGGCAAAAAGCCCAGCGGAATGGCTTCCTCCTTGCGGTGTGCCGTTGGAGCTGTGCGTTTCCCAATGAGCATCAAGGAAAGAAAATTGGATTGTCTGATCCAGGAGGAGCTGCATCAGGCGCATGGCTTCATGCGATACTTGGGGTGGGAGGGTGGCCAAGAAGTTAGCCACACTTGCATGCCGAAGATTGTCGAAAGCGCCCTTGATGTCGAGCTTGAGGAAAAGAGGGTTCTTGTCCGTGACATTGGCCAAGGCAATCATGTGATGGGCGGCGAACAGAGCCTCAATGGGTTGGCCACCTGAAACCGCCCCAACTTGGACATGGAGGGGTGGCCAGTGGGAATGGATACGTCGCATCAGAATGCTCGCGAAAAGCTTTTGCAAAACTTCAAGGAGAAGGATGGGACGAATCTGGGATGCAGCGGTGGCACCCGGAGTCTTTGGTAGCAAGCACGCAATGCCTGTGAGAAGGGGAGGCGGGATGTCACCATCGATGAGCATTGCATTCAACAAGTTGAGAAGCATGCTGTGCCCTGTGGCAGTGCTTCCCATTGCCAGGAGGAACTCATTTGACATGCCACTTGCCCCGGATGTCTTCCCAAGCTTCAGGTTTGCAAGGGCAAGGCTAAGTTCTTCAGGTTGGAGGGGTGTTGGCTCGGTTTGGTCCATGTGTGCTTGTAGGGCTTCGATGTGATGGGAGCAGTCGGCTGTCCGGGTGGGAATGGGGGTGTTGCTGAAGACTTCTTGGAAGTGGTTTTTTACGTTGTGTATTGCTCCCTGTAGGCTGCCGGAATGTGCTATGAGGTGGCTCCAATTGGCGGTTGGCTGGTGCTTCGCCTTGAGGAAAGCGATTGCCGAGGTATCACCTGAGGAGGCTGAGGTGTGCAGCTCAGAGAGCCATTGAGCCCGTTCAGCACGTCGAGTCGCAATGATGTGGCGCGACAGGGATGCACGTTGAAGAGCATTGGCAGTGGCGTTGCGGGCACGGCACAATTCCTTAAGAGCTGGAGAATCTTGGAATTTCCGACTGGGGAGACGATATTGACACTGGCGGGCAAGGCGGCAGAGTTGTGGCCAGTCAGGTGTGGCGGATTGGTGCTCAAGGCTGCGTTGGAGGCGCTGCAGGTCAACTTGCCAGCGGCCAGTGTGCTGCTTGTGACGGTAGCCTTGCCGTTGGGGAGGTTGGAAGAAAGTGGTTTCCCAGGTGATCAGTTTGTGGTCAGAAGGTAGGAGGCTGTCCATGCCTTCGACAATAAGGGGGGAGGTTGGCAGGCAGGAGGGAGCAATGCAGCGCTCGAAGGCGGGGGTGAAGCCGACGAAGTCGTACACTCTGTGTTTCCAGGTGGGCTGCTCAGGAAGGCGAAACATGAGCTGTGCTTCGGCTTCGAGACAGGCGAGTGCGAGGGCCTGCTCATCCATGGGTTCCCGGTGAGGAGTGGCATTCCAATCGCCCACTACTAAGGTTGGAAGGTGCTGGGTTCGCTGGAGCAACTGCTGCAATTCAGTGGTGGCAGCACTGTAGTCGGATAGTGGTTGGTGGTGGTGTGGCAAGTGGCCGGAGAACACCCAAAGTCGAAGCCCGCTTTTGTGGAGAATGTGGGCGCCGAGGAACCTCGTCCCCTTAAGGGTGTGGAGCACGGCACTGGCAAAGGTTTTGTCCACCAGAATGGCTTGGCCATGGTGGCTGCTGAGTTGGTCAGTGGCTACAATCCAGTAGTCGCGCAACTCGTCGTGCAGCTGCACATTGGGGTCATCGGCAGCCAAGAAGCCATCGGTGGTAAGCTTTCCTTGGGAGAGGCCACCGACTTCTTGCAGAGCGATTATGTCAAAGTGAATTCCCTGGTCTGACAACACATCAGCAATTTGAAACAAGGATTTCCCCCAGGCATTCCACGAGGCAAGCTGTAGGATTTGCACAGGCCGAACCGCTGAAGGACATCGCTGGTGTTGTGCTGCAGGAGCATGCTGGTGGCCAGGTGGGCTGACGAGTCACTCAGGTTTGGGGTCGCCC